GTGGAGTAAAATACACGCCCGACTTCAAAGACTATGTATGAAAAACTAGTGTAAAATATCTCATTAATAATTCTGTATATTGAATACATTTTAAAATAATAATATTTTGGATATATTAGGTTAAGTGAACTATTATTAAAATTAATTTCACCTGTTTCCTTTTCACCTCTTTAATGTGACTACTAGAAAATTTTAAGGTACATCTATAGCTTTCATTGTAATTCTATGGACCATACTGTTTCAGACTTCCTTTCAAATGTCCACATATTTTAACCGAGTGTAAATTTAACTACCCAAGTTGCCAAGAAATGGGAGGCAGGAAGACCCAGGGAAATAAGACAACAGCTCAACAGGAAGACAGTGTGTTGTAATCTCCCCCTTCCTAGCTGTCTCTGGCTACCCTCCTTGCTTCAGTTTCCCGGAAAAGCGATAATAGAAATATTTATTGGAAAGGGTGAATGGATACGTGTAAAGTGCTTAAAACAGTTCCTGGTAGTAAGTGTTTGCTCTTATTAAATATCTATACTTCTGGCAAAAATGACCCCTTGGCTCCTGTGATGTGCCTGAGGTGTTGAAGTCAGCACTCGGAATCAGCCCTGGATGCAGGGCAATCCAGGAACACGGAGATACAGAGGCGCAAATCTCATGTCTGCTGAACTGAACAACAACAGCACTCCCTTGTGCAGCTTACTGACTTCTTTCTGAAGTCTCGGTTACCTCTTCTGTAAAGTATCTGTTTTGTAGAGTTGTTTAAGGAACTAATGAAGCAGAGTAAATAAAAAAGCCTGAGGGAATAGGCAGTCAAATCATGACAAATCTTGGGCAGAATTCAACTCTTCTCTAGATGACAAACTAACTGAGGAAAAAGATCATAATGCCCAAGAGAATACTGCTTGGAAGTCTTATCAAGCATTTGAGCTCTTACACATGTAACTGACTTTCTCATTTTTAGTCACTTTTAAAAGTACCTCTAAGAACATTTACTAGGTAACCCTGTTAACTTGCTACCAAATGCAACCAAAGAAATAGAACTATTATTTCTTCAAAACCCCTCTTCTGTTACTTCAGAAGATTCTTCAACTGAGATTAGCTTTTCCCTTCAATCCACTTAAAGCACCTAGACTACACTGGTTTTTCCCTCTTTTCTATTTAATTGTTTTTTTATTAAAAAAACTTTTTGAAGACTTTTTAAAGATTTATTTATTTCACTGAGAGAGAAAGAAAGAGCAAGCGAGTGAGCAGGAGATCGGGGTGCAGAGGGAAAGAGAGCTTTAAGCAGACTGTGCACCGAGCATGGAGCCTGACACGGGGCTCTATCTTACAACCCTAAAATCATGACCCCAGCCGAAACCAAGAGTTGGACGCTTGACTGACTGCACCACCCAGGCACCTGCTTAAAGATTTTTATTTTTTTATTTTTAAGTAATCTCTACACCCAACGTGGGGCTCGAACTCACAACCCCAAGATGAAGCATCCCATGCTCCAACGACTGAGCCAGCCAGGCGCCCCTGGGGGCATTTAATATTAAGAAAAGTGTTTCTCCTATAGTTATCAGCCTGTACCATGGAATGGTAGTATGAATGTCGACTGTGTGGCTTCTGTCTGGAAGTGAAGTACATGGAAGAGAGCAACTCTCCCATTCTCCCCTCTCTTTAATGGGAATGTGTGTAACTTTACATGGTGCTTTGCCCCGTTCTTCATGAAGGCGCATTGTGACCCCTTCACATTTCATAAGGGAAGGAGCGTAGCCTCTGTAGGCTGGGGATCAGGACACCCAACACAAGTACCAGCTGGCTGACTTCTTTACTTTATGTCAGTGGGAAAACCTGTAACACCTCTGGACTTACTGCGGGTCAACTACACACAACCTATCTTCACAACAGAAACACTGTGAGGGATAAAGTGCCATAAGAGATTTTGAAAAAGTTTGTCAAAGAGCACAGGACTGCTGCTATTACAATGGGCGGTCATAAGAGGTGATGGTAGTCTCTAAAGTGCACTTTAGTGATCACTGTAGGTGTGTTCTTTCCCCTTCTCCTGGCTCAGAGCATTTTGTGCCTGACGCTTTCTGAGGTCAAATACTGAAACAGAATTGAAAGTTAGGAAAAATAGAAATAAAGCCCGTTAGTCAAAGACTTCAGTTAAAAACAAGCCAAACTTGTCTATAATACTGCATGCCGGGTTTGAATAAGAGAAGGGAACTTGGGCTAGGCAGGTTCATCACTGGATGAACTCACTAGCTAACCTCTCATCTCTCTCCATAGCACCGAGAGCCTACTTTGTGTCAGCAGTGCAGGGCTGGGTGCTGGGACCCAACAGTGAACGCGTTCAGTCAGGACCCTGCCTGCAAGGGGCTAAAGAAGAGACAGGTACGATAAACAGATAACAGCACATGTAATTAAATTAATTGCAATGGTAATAAGTGGCATAAGAAAAAAGTAAGGAAACCTTTACAAATTCAGAGACCAAGAGAAGAACGCTTTCCTAGCAACTGCCTGAGGCTGGGATTTCAGAACCCCTGTTCATTCCTCTGATGTGCAACTTTCAGAGTTAAGAGCTGCTTACTTCTTATTTAATAGCATTTATGTTTTTTACTCTGCTATTTTTCAGGAGTGATAAAGGAAAGATGGTCCTCTTTTCTAGTTGTAAGAGCCCTCCAAATATTGGCAACAGCTTCCAACTAAGATTAGTGTCCATGCTTAAAACATACTGTATAACATTAATACAACCTCGGTTTTTTGCTTTGAATTTATATAAAAAATATCGCTGAACTTTTAGAGATAAATGGCCTGTATTTTCCCTACAAAGCATTAACAATAGTTCCAACAAAATCAAAGTATTCTCAGTATCTTAACCAAAGTGATCTAATAGGAGCCCTGAAAAGCGGACAGCTCTCCATCAATATCAAACATCATGCACCACAATAGAAATAACAACACGTGCATGCACAAACATTCATTACCTGCTTCCTTTTCTGCTGGGCCTAAAACGTAAGAAAAGACAATTTAGGAGAAAAACAGATTCTACCCATGCTGCTCACATAATGCAGGAGGTCAATCAAGCAAGGAAAAGTAGCCACTTCCTATTTCTAACTTAAATTAGATTTTGTTCTTGGTCTGGTCCTGAGCATAAACAAAAAGTGCTTTATTTTTTTAGATATAAGAATGGGGGTTGGAAGAAAGGGAATTAATGAAATGCATAGAAGTTTTCTCATATACTAAGCATGTATTTTGTTTTGTTTTGTTTTGAAAATAGAGACTGCTCAGTAGTCCCACCCAATTAAATTTCTAGGATCCATTTTCTAGAATATTCTCGCAGTCAACTAGAGATAAGAGACAGGTGACTCCAGAAGGGAAAGAAGTAGGAGAATTCCCTGCCCACTGTCCATTTAGTCCTATGATAGGCTCTTCTCTAACACAGACTTATTTTTTTGTGTGATCCAGAACAGCTATGTCTTTTGACCCCCAGTGTTAACACGCCTAGCTAATTAATAAAAGCTAGCTAATTAATAAAAGCTGTGACAAATAATTTTATTTGTACATGTTAAAATGGACTCTGACCAGGAAATAGAAATATTCTGCATATCTTTTCAGTATTCTTGGACAAGATAATGGTCAAAAATATTAATTAGAACAGACAGTTAAGAACAAAAGGATTCTCATAGGTTTTTTGGATAGAATTGAAACATCTGGGTAAAAGAATATTATGTTTATTCAAGTTATGCACAAACTTTTTCCCCTTTATCAGATTTGAAAGGTTTTAATGTCTATTTTTGTATCGATTCTTTCAACCCATGTTCACAACACATAATATTCCAAAACACAAAAATTGTTTGAATGGGTATTCAAGATGTGAAAAACAGTCTGTTTATCTTCCACTTTCCCCAAATTATCTAATATTCATTGCTTTTGCTTTAACACAACGTGATATCATAATTAATGATGTTAAACTGGTAACTAAGGAGGTTTCATGTTGTTACTCTTGTGATATAATATTGGTTGCTATAGTGATGGGATGGCTTTTTTGTTAATCACTCAGGAGGTTGGTTATTGCATGCTTGTTAGAAAGCTTGATCAGATTTGGAGAGAAAAAAGGATATAACAGCCAATTATACTCAATCTTTTTCATCATCCCAATTTTGATAAAACTATCTTAATATTAATAATTAATAAATTTATAATTAAGTACAATTTTATATTAAAAGTTATTAAAATTTTTCTAATAGAGGATTTACTTTTATTTTTAGATATAAGTATTTAACATTGCAAACTTTTCCCCTAAGTTAATGCTACTTGTACTACACAAGCCAGTTGTATGATAATTAAAGCAAAATATTTGTGGCCCTTCCTATTTTTAATTATATTAAAGGACTGTTGAATAAAGCTGATTTTGTGACTTTGCTACGAATTTCAATCTAGTTATTTTTCTAAGCATCCTAAGTTTCAGTATTCTTAATGAATGAAACCTGAAGGAAGAGGAAAAAATGTGCAGTCCTCCCTAATCTTTCAAGTGCATTAATATACGGCAAGCAAAGAAAAGTTGCAGGGAATTCTATCAGTTTATTTTGGCCCTCACCATAATCAAGTTTCCTCCTTCTCTGAGAGACACCGTTGAACAGAAAATAAAATTATGTAACACTATACCGTTACTGATCGGGAAAGAAGACACTACCCATAGTTTAAATGTTAGATGTACTTACGGTAATGTCAAAAAATACAACCCATGAAAACACCTTTTGGTTCCTTGAAAACTCAAAATAAGAACAAAGGACAACTTAAGCACGAATCCTGGGTCTTTCATTCAAGCAGAGTCCCAGGAGGCATATTAAAGCAATGAATAGGAAAAAGCTCTTCAGTTCACCAGCTGAGATTTTAATGAGACATTTCCCTTTGCCACGGTACAGGTTTGTTCAGGAAAGGAAAGAACTTCTCACAGAAAATTCAGTTAATAGGCATTGTTGGCTCTCACTGCCACTTGGACAATTGCTCAGTGCACTGACCTTCTATTTTGGCGTATTCTGTGAGTCTAGTGTAATTGATCAAGGCTGCTTTCTCGAGACATTTTCTGACCACTTTTTTCACGTCTTCAGCTGGTATGGGAGTGGCGATATCTTTCATTAAAACCTGAAGAGGGGGAGAGAAAGAGACTGCATAAAACAGAGACTGCAATCAAATTACACAAAATGTCCTAGATCTATTACGAGGAAGGGGTCCTAGGTAACACTGGGGCAAAGTAAGGAGTCGGCACTTCACAACCAGGAATGTAATCCTCCAATCTTGGCTCCTCCTGTCCGAGCCTCATTTATGCACATCAAAACCTCCCATAGGCCAAACCACCGTTCCGTGTGATGACTGTCACTTTTCCTCCAGGGGCCCACGACACCATTACAGCAATTGTTTCAGATCAGGATTACAGTCCTTGGGACAAGTAATAAGGTTTGTCTTGCACATCCCTCATAGAAAAGCTTTAAATCTTTTGAGCAATATATATATATATGAAAACAGTAAAAAATTCTATGAAGAACAAGCATTGCTTTTGAGCTCTATAAAAATCAAGATCTCTAATTCCACAATTAAACTTTAATTACTTAATCTGTTGACGGGGAGAAAATCTTTTAGTGAAATGAATGGAATATCAAACGTTAAAATACACGGAAACTTTCTGAAATTAAAAAACAACAGATTATTTTCTGTTGAGTTCCTAAATATGTTTTTGTTTTCCCTTAGAAGTATTACTATTGGCCAGGGGAAAATACAATTATATCCAGAATTCAAAACATAATGTATTTAAGCACTTTTATAATGACTCACTGATGATAATTTCCTTAAAACTTTCTCAGTGGTTAAATAGCTTACAGTCAGTTTTGATTATACCATTAGATAACCTCTATCTTTTCATATAGTTAATGCAGCTTTTCTGGCTTTACTTACATTCAAATTATAAAATAGAAGGCAAAATGTGAATATAGAGAAAACAAGAACAGTAAGTATTCTTACTATTCTATTAGTCTTTTACCTTAAAGACTCATCAAAAGAATATGAAAACATCCATTTCATGCTTTATGATTTCTTTCTCTTTCAATCGGCCTCAGCACAAAGGATTTTATAATCTCAAATTTACTCAACCATTTAAGCATTGGTGATCCTTCACAATATATTTTAATTTTGTTAGGCAAGCTTTCTTTTTCAAAACAGCAAACCTTATCACTTAAAAATTTCCTTTCCATCAAATTCAATTATTCTTCATAGTCTCATATTAAAAATCTTTAACACATTTACATATATTTGGTACTTTAATTAGAACTGCACATTAGATTCTTTATAGGCAAAAAAAATCCTGCTGATAGTTAAAAAAAACAAGCATTAATGTACTATTATGTTTTTAAATGTACTATTTTTAATGTGATTATTCCTAAAGTTTAAATTTAAAATTAATTTTGTCCCATATGCATAACCATGAACTTTACCATTAGACCTTCCCATGGTGACACACATTCATTCATTCATTCATTCACTCATTCATTAAGACAGAGAGCACACGCACAAGCGGGGCGGGGGGGGCAAGGGAGAGAGGGCAGAGGGAGAGGGAGGGAGAATCTTAAGCAGGCTCCATGCCCCAACATGGAGCCCAAAGTGGGGTGCGATCCCACAACCCTAAGATCATGCCCTGAGTCGAAATCAAGGGTCAGATGCTTAACCAACTGAGCGACCCAGGAGCCTGACACACTTTTAAATAATAGAAAATAGCTGTTAAGGGGCGCCTGGGTGGCTCAGTCGTTAAGCGTCTGCCTTCGGCTCAGGTCATGATCCCAGGGTCCTGGGATCGAGCCCCGCGTCGGGCTCCCTGCTCAGCGGGAAGCCTGCTTCTCCCTCTCCCATTCCCCCTGCTGTGTTCCCGCTCTCGCTGTGTCTCTCTCTGTCAAATGAATAAATAAAATCTTAAAAAAAAAAAAAAAAAGAAAAAAAAGAAAATAGCTGTTAAAATTAGAATGTATATGTCTGTTACAGAGGTGAGTCCAGGGTTGAAATCAGGTGATAGTTTATATTACCCAGGAGCTGGATATTTAATTTGGAGTGGGGGGAACTGTATCCTCTTTCCTGGCAAAATACAGATTAAGGGCTGGCAAGAGCAAAAAGGGAGACACAGCTGGTTTCCTGTATCCCCTCCATTTCTTCCAAAGCATAGTAAGTATGAAGAATTCACATGTAGATTTTGCTTTTCTAAGATGTCAATAAGTACAGAGACACGGAAATGAAGAATGGCCCTACCATTTCTCTCTCAGTTCAGCAAGAGACATGATAAGTGACTTTAAGTGGAAAAAAGGTCACTGTTCATCCTGGCTCGTGTCAGTACATGAGGGCATCTATGCCATCGGGAACTCTTCCCTGCTGGGGGAGGAGAGGAGCTCTACCATGGAAACGAGCACACGGAAAGGCTGTATCAGGTACTCAGGGTGGGATGCCATTCCAAAAGTAAAGCTCTCTGTAAAGATTTTATCTTTTCTATGATACCTCAATGAACTGGATGAAATGAATACTTTGGAAAAGACTGGGTTACACACAGCTTTATAATAAAAATTCTAATAAAACAGGTAACCGCTGTAATAATATTTCTATCATATGATGCACAGGAATCAAGGATAAAACAGGGGCAGACATACGCGACCACTGTATACAGTCATCAGTTCTAGCGTCATCTTCCAAGTCCTTGAATCACTGAAAAATGCCTTCCCTTAAAAAAAAAAAAAAAAAAAAAAAAAGCCTTCCCTTTTTGCTTTTAATAGAAGTGCTGATCAACAGTGTAATATATCTAGAATTCTTTGGCAGAAAAGTGGACAAGACCAAGTGCTTTGAAGTCAATAAATTAGGGCCAGAATAATCAAATCATGATTATATTATATACTATATATGTATATATATATTATCATGATATAAATGATCCTTAGAAATTCATTTTAATGCTGGTAAGGAATAGGAATTGTCCATATCACTTAACTGTTAGGCTCCAACTAGCCTTTGAATAGTTTTATAAATAAATGAAAATGATACTTCCCTTTCAAACCTTGTCTGCTACAAAAACAGGAGTGGAGAATGTACTTTCATTAATAAATTATTTTAGCATGGCTAGGAAAGCCTTGTTTGCTATTTATTTTCTGAGGGAAAACGAATTTCCACAATTCATGAATTCATTTAAAGTAACACGAGTTGAAATGAATTTTGAGACTGATTTAGAATGAAAGGAAGGATACGTTTGGGCCTTTTAAGTGATAAACCCTTACAGGTATAAGAAATGTGACAGGTAGATGCACAAGTAAGTCGGGGGTGTGGGGAGGGTAATGAAAGACAACTGTGAAGTCTGAAAAACGGATGATTATACTTAAGTGGAAAAAAAACAAAGAAGACTATTTCATGAGGGAAAGAAAGAGGTGGGGAAAATGGGTACTGCCAAGATGCCATCAACTCAGCCTCGGATGGCAGGGATGGCTTCCGAAAAGCTGCGGGGAGAAAGAGGTAGGAGATAGGAAGAGTTGGACGTAGTTAAGAGCCGGTGAGAAAGTGATGAAATGTGACCGACAGCCTCAGAGAACACACTCGTTGTGAGGAATGGGCCTGTCTGCCCGGTTCAGTCACTAAAACACACAGCCACTAAGTGCAAATAGTATTTATAAAGTAGTGTTCGAACGTACCCTTTCAAGTAATGAAAGCGTAGCTTTCAGAGCACCTTCAGGTCGTCCAAAGGGAAAACAGTATCTTTAAAAACAAAAGGAGGAACAAAAAAGTCAAACATTTAATATCCAAGACTGCTCAATAATTCCCTCTTCTATTACTTGGCATTATTGAAGAACAGTGAAAAGTGGTTAAAATAGCATCAACCCATCTGGGAAAATCTTAAAGGCAGAAGTTTACCTGGTTCCATGCTTTCGATTTCTTTTAACAGTAAAGGTATCAACTATGATGAAAAGGTTCTAAAATTTTGATGATGTTCAGAAAGAACATAGTAAATTAAAACAAAACAAAAACCTCCAAGATTCTACCAGTAAAGAGTTAATTAAAAATACATTTCCTAAAATCTTCTTAAGGTTTGCTGTTATTCAAGCCCTATGATAAACAAAATGATTTCCCCCATTTCCTCCTGTACTTATGTGTGGCTTGAGATGGAAGCACACCCCACAGACATAACTTTGAGTACAAAACAGGTTCCAGCTTCCCCCCTTTCCTGACATCTGCCTGTCTATTATGCCAGTAGCTAACTCTACAACCTCCCCACACAAAACACAAACTTTGCAGAGCTCCGCAATTTGCCAGTGGGGAAGGTTATCCTCAGCTTTCTCGTGCCGTGCCTTCCTAATATACACCGACAACCGGAGGGCAGGTCACCGCCGTGTTCCGCAATCAGGGTCAGAGGCATGGGCGAGTGAGTGGGCTCCTCAGAAGTTAGCTAACGCATGGTGGTAACAGATTTATTGCTCTTCACACGGGGGTTCCTCTTCAGGTCACTTTCCACTTAAAGAGCAGAGAATGTCAGGGCCTCTTCATCCTGCTGGAGCTCCTGGCTTTCTTGAATCAGGTTCAGTAAAGCACCTTCTCCCCAAACCCCGCCGCCCCCCACCCAAGATCAAGTGCTACAGGCAGCTGAGCTGTCTGGATTAGAAATCTTCAAACCGGTAACTTGAAGTTTATAGATTTCCATGTCCTTTGCCATTATTCAGGGACTTGGTAAACACATCTTCTAAGGTGTAACCCACAATGAAATTATTTTTTTCACAAGGCAATCTGAACAGGTTTCCCTAAAAACACATACTTAAATTCAACTTGTTTTATAGCAGCAAATTTTAAAGACTGATTAAAGATGGATTTCTCAGAAAGCAGCTGTTAAATTCATATTAGGATCGGGTTTTAGTTTTATGAAACTTTTACCAGTGTCAGGTAAATGCAAGAAACATCATAAATCTATGAAGAAAAATCAAATTTTTCTTCAGAACGGTGTTTATTTCACTTACTGTTAAAAGTTTCCTTCAACTAACTCGTACTTCAATGCATTCTCTTACTCCTCTCTGCTACCCTGCACAAAAGCAACAACCAATTTATTTAATAGTTTTTTTTTCCTGTGCAGTGTTGCTTTTTAGAGCATTAGCAAATTAGCGAAGCAGCTTTCATCATTTTGTATACCATAAACCTTAATCCAAGTTTAAATAAAACACAAATTGGGTTCTTATAGTCCCCTCCCCTGCTTAAATCTTTTCAGTGTATTTGCATAATCCACCCATTGTCTTTCCTATTGTTTATTTCCATTAACCTGAGGGTGACACATTTTATGAATGGAATGTTACTGATCCCCAGATTACATTTAGCATTTCAGGGCTCTGAGGTCCCACTGGGTATGTTCTGAATTAGCATTAGCTGCCCATGATGTGTAAATAATTCAACACATTTACAGAGTACAAGTAATCCTGAATCAATAAAGTATAGAAAATAACTACACAGAGGCTTAATTAATCTTTACAAAATGGGTTTTAAAAGAAAGGAATAGTTTTGTTCTGCTTTTCAGGATAAATATTTTGGGTTTTCACCACTTTCACAGCTCTGTAATAACAAAGTGGAAAATACTCAATCATCAAATAAAATTCAACCAAGTTTAATATCTAATCTGAATAAATTAAAATCACCATGATTCCCACCTTAGTAAATTAATTACACAGATAGATGAGCCTGCATAGACATGTCCCACAATTAAACTGTTTCTTTTCTTTACCATTTTAAAATACAGTATTTCTTTTTATCAAAATTATATATACACATAGTCTGAAAGGAAACTTCTAAAGGCTTCTTATGAAAAACAGAAGTTTTTATGTCATTTGCACCCCACTCCCCAAGTAATTTCTCGAGAAAAGAAAGTTTTTAACTTTTAGCTATTTCTTTCTGTATTTAAACATTTTATGCCTAACCTACATGCTAATATTTCAAATTCTTGATTTTTCACTTTTATATATTATTCTACTAACTTCCCACTATGGAAGTACTTAGCTTTTAATAGATTTAAAGGTATAAATGACATATAATTGCACATTTTTAAAATACATAATTTGATAAGTTTTGACATATGTATATACCTGTGAAACCATCACCACAATCAATTTAATATACATATTCATGACTGCCAAATGTTTCTTCCCCACCCCTTGGGCCCAGGCAACCACTGATTTACTTTGTATTTGAATTAGTTTGTATTTTCTATAATTTTATATAAGAGGAATCTTACAGTATGTACTTCATTGCATCTGATTTCTCTCAGTATATTTTGATATTCATTCATGCTATCAACCGTTCATTCCTTTTTACTGCTCAGAAGTATTGTGATACACTGTTTATCTCTTCCTTGTTGTGGCCATCTGGCTTGTTTTCATATTCAGCTATTATGAATAATGCTGTATGTTCACATGAAAGTCTTTGTGTGGACATGGGCTTTGATTTCTCTTGGAGAATACCTACAAGTGGGATGGCTGGGTCATATGTTAGGTGTTTGAATTTTTAAAAACCTGCAAACCATCTTACAAAGTGGGTTGTACCCTTTTATACTCCTATCAAGAGTATATGCAGAGTTCCAGTTTCATATCCATGCCAACACTTGTTGGGTGGTAATTATTTTAATTTTACTTATACTAATAATGTAGTAGTACTGCATTGTGTTTTAGTTTGTATTTCCCCAAAGAATAATGACATTGAGCATCTTTTCATATGGCTTTTTGCCATGTGTCTTTGATGAAATATCAGGAACAATTTTTTATTGGGTTGTTTCATTTCTAAGTTTTAAGAGTTACTTATATATTCCAGATAGAAAGAAGTTTTTTGTGGGATGTGTATTGTGCAAATACTTTTTCCCATTCTGAGATATATCTTTTTATTCCCTTATCAATGTCTTTGGAAGATCAAAAGTTCTTAATGTTGATGAAGTTCAAGGTAAGACTGTTCCATTTATGAATCATGATTTTGGTGTTTTGAAGAATCTTTGTTTCGTACAAGAACAAAGAGATTTTCTGTTTTCTAGGTCTACCCATTTTGAGTTAACTTTTTAATCAGGTATGAGGTATGGGTCCAGGTCAATCTTTTGCATTTGGCTATCTAATAGTTCTAGCACCATTTATTGAAAAAAAGTGTACTTTGCAAATTATCTTTGTGTATCTTTGGAAATCAATTGACCATATGTGTATGAGTGGATTTCTGAACTGTCCACACCACACAACCTTGATTACTGATTTTTGAGCAGACATCCTTGCCTTGCTTTTGATCTCAGGTGAAAAACATTCAATCTTTCACTGTTAAGTATGAAGTTGTAGGTTTTCCATAGGCGCCCTTAAGAGGTTGAGCATATGACATTAGGTAAGAATTCTTTTAATACTATTGTTTACTAATTCTATCTTCTGTGTCACTTCCACTTTTGGCTGTTTTCATTCTCTTCATTGGTCATATTTTACCATTTCTTCGTATGCCTAGGAATTTTTGATTGGATGCTAGACATTATTATTTTACATTATTGGTGGCTCAATATTTTTGCATTCCTTTATTCTTGACCTTTGTTTGGAATGCAGTTAAATTACTTAAAAACAATTTGATTTATTTGAAACTTGATTTTAATCCTCATTAGGAGCAATAAAAACAGGGCTAATTTTTTTCTATTACTGAGGCAAAAATTCTCTTGAGTATTCGACCCTCTACTCATGACTTAGAAGCTTTCCAGTCTGGGTGGTAGAAACTGGTACTCCTCTTAGCTCTATGTTAGCTTTGAGGATTATCTCCTGTAATCCTACCACAGAGTGAAAGGATTATCTGTCTGACTTCAAATAGTTTCCTTACATACATGTTCAAATCAATACTCAGTTGAAGACTCCAGGGGGCCCCTCAGCAAACACCTGCAGGTCTCTCCTCTCTTTTCTTCAGAAGTTTGACCTGCAAACTCTGGGTGCTTTGCCCTCCCTGGACTCACATCTCTGTCTCCTCAAGTCAGGGTGTCCACTGGGATTCTCCTCCATGGGCCATGGCTCAGAAGCACTCTCCTGGTGCCAAGCGGAGAAAATGAAAGGGCTTATTCATTTGTTTCTCATCTCTCAAGAATCAGTTGTATTCATTGTCTTATGCTTAATGTGCTGAAAAGCATTTTTCCACATTAAAAAAATTAAAAAAAAAATTTTTTTGTTTCAGATGGGAGGGTAAATATAATCCTGTTACTCCACCTTAGACATATGTAGCTTCTTTTTTTTTCTTTTTTTTGACTGCTTTCCCCCATCCTAAATGTAATTCCTGTCCTTCTTATCTTTTAACACAGTTATGCCATTTTGGGGGGTTAAATTCAGTATTTATATTACGTAAATGTGCCAGATAAGTGATACACAGTATTTACTATGATTTACATGCCATTATTTTGTTTATAATTAATACTTGTCTTTGTTTGTAATATCTTTTTTATTTTTTTTTAAAGATTTTATCTATTTATTTAATTGACAAAGAGACAGAGATAGCAAGAGAGGGAACACAAGAAGGGGGAGTGGGAGAGGGAGAAGCAGGCTTCCCGCTGAGCAGAGAGCCTGATGTGGGGCTCGATCCCAGGACCCTGGGATCATGACCTGAGCCGAAGGCAGTTGCTTAACCAACTGAGCCACCCAGGCGCCCCTTTAATATCTTTTTTAAATAGAACTCCAAACTCAATTCCAGGTGGGTAAATCCTCTCTCAACATACTAAAACATCTTAGTATTTTGTCAATTTAATTTACTTGAAGAATTTTTCTGACCTGTTCTCATCAGAACTGGTTGCTTTCTAAGCTCAATCATCACTTGGGGTTTCTATTAACTATCACTATGGAGATTCCCTCCTCTTTACCACTCATTTTCTGTTCAGGGATCTTAACTATCCCTCTTTCTTTGTTTTCTCCTTTGTCTTGAATTGCATTCTCCAGAAATATTTCCCTTTTTAACCATTAGGTTCTATTGAGCTAACTATAATCAGGGGAAAAAATAACAAGATTTCGATCTTTCATTCTGTAAATGTTTCTTAGTATCAATGGTTAATTTTTTTGAGCAAGGAACTGTGCCAGGAAACAAGGCCCTTGTTCTCACAAAATGTAAATAAAATAACTAATGACTTAAGAAATGGGTATTATAACTATGTGTTAAGTGACTAGTGAAGAGTACAGATGATAAATGCTAAAAGACTTCAGGTTTTCCAGTCTTTGCTGGAATGATCTAAAACAGCTCTACTATGAAGATAAGACACAAGAAGCTCCTTGCCTGGTGATACAGAGAGAGGGAAGTCTACTCACCAGAGCTGGGGGAAGAGGTTACTCGAGGATGAGAAATGCACAAGCGAGAGATGCATTCCACAGATTGAAGGGGTAAGGGACCTACCTTAATGAATGGTGGAAACTGAATGGCAGGCTTAGAAGCAGACCACAGACTGAGGAATATGGATCTTACCTGGCAGGCGATGGAGAAGAAGCTACTGGTAGTTCTTGAGTAGCCAAAGAAAGACATAATAAACCTTTATAGGGAACTGGAGTGTTGAGTGAAGAAAGCAAATACTTAATTTTAATGAACAGAGTATATACCTGAAATGACTTATCTGATTTTCTAAAAGGGAAGAGAGTCTTTCTTTTATCTCCTCAAATCTCTCTTTTTCTTCCATTGAAACAGTTCCAATTCCATCAGGCCTGGAAACAAACAAACAAACAAACAGAATCAGTAATTTATACTGATTGAATGTTTACTTTCATGTTTTTTGTATATCTTTATTTTTAAATATATTTATATATACATATATCTTTATATCTCTATTTCCCTGAAGAATAATTAAGGAAAATGCATATTGGATAGTATACATATTACTTGCATCTATAATGGAAATTTATTTAAAGGAGGTATTTGTAGCCATTTGCTTCATATTCTGACCTGGAATGAATGGAATTATTCTGTTTTAAACAGCCTTCAAGGTAAAGGATTACAATAAATATTTTCCAGATCTACTGAAAACAATGACTAGTCCTTGAGAATGGTAGTGAAAAGTGTTTTATGTGGTACCAAACATTTGACAAATTGAATAAATATCCCGTGGATGAAAATATTATAAAAGCATACTGAATGCAAACTAAAATGTTTTTTTTTTTAAGATTTTATTTATTTATTTGACAGAGAGAGAGAGACAGATAGAGAGGGAACACAATCAGGGGGAGTGGGAAAGGGAGAAGCAGGCTTCCCGCCGAGCAGGGAGCCCAATGCGGGGCTCGATCCCAGGACCCTGGAATCACGACCTGAGCCGAAGGCAGGCGCTTAACGACTGAGCCACCCAGGCGCCCCGCAAACTAAAATGTTTTAACTACTTTTCTTCCAAGTAAAAATTAAGCTAATGTGAAACTGGAGATTTCATTCTAATTGTAAAAAAACACAGAAAATTTGAATACATTGGTGATTTACTGCATTTTTTTTTTTGTTTAAATGTGGGGGCTTATAATTCAAAACAAATAGTTGAATAAAAACTTATAGAGAACACAGATCAGCTATGTTCCTGCATTTTGGGCTCAGCCAAATATCCCTACGGAATCAAGGCAAGTTCACATCAGGACTTTTAGAGGTAGTTACGAAGACTGAACAGAAATCTTCTTTTACTTAAGATCAGCATTAAAAGTATAAAATATTTCTAATAATGGATTTAGAATTTATTCTATATTAGTTCAAGTATCTGGTTGTATATTGGGGTGCCTGGGTGGCTCAGTCATTAAGTGTCTGCCTTCAGCTCAGGTCATGATCCCAGGGTCCTGGGATCGAGCCCTGCATCGGGTTCCCTGCTAGGCAGAAGCCTGCTTCTCCATCTCCCACTCCCCCTGCTTGTGTTCCCTCTCTCACTGTCTCTCTCTCTGTCAAATAAATAAATCTTAAAAAAAAAAAGTATCTGCTTGTATAACAGTCATCAAAAATTTTGAACCTATGAACTGTAACTTTGTTAACGCAATGAGAAAGACCTATTAATGTCATATTCAAAAAGTGTCTATTTCAACAAAATGAATCTTTTGCATTTGATAAACACCAATCATTTCTTCCTCTATTAGCTTATTTTTCTGAAGATATTTTAGTTCCCAAAGACTTATGTACTTATAATTTTAACTAATTTTTAGTTAAAATTCATAATCATCTACGATTGTGAAATGATTATGAAAGACAAAGAGAAATGAATGCTTGATATAACTTTCCCCAGAAGATTGCTATTTGGGGCTCCCACTCGTTTCACATATACATATAAACATGCGTGTGCATGTGTATCTTTGATGCTTGCAACTAGTCAATTAGGATAAAAGCAATTACTTTTAAAGTTATACCTGAATCATAATGACCTAAAGACCTTTTATTCATCTCACAGCATCATTTAAGTCTGAAAATTTTTTTGCCATTATAGAGTAAATAATTTGTTATTTCAGAAACGCACAAGCTGCTGGAATTTATGCTTTGAAAATCTTACAATTATACTTCATCCCTAAATAGGGAAACACCAATTATTTTATTTCATAGTCAGAACAGTACATTCTACCGGAATGTATTTTCAATGTGAACTGCAGAAAAACTAATGGCAAATATTGGTCTTTCAAATATTTTTAGGAAGGAGAAAAGAAAGTCTGATCTATAAACTACAAAATAATGAACTCTGAGCTAACCCCAATACTTTATAATAATTTATCATATTATAATAATTTATAATATAATGGATTTTTTCACATATTACTTCAGCGTCAATTCCCACTGAGCAAATGATAGCACAAAACCAAGACTGTAACTTAAGAGTAAGTATAATAATGATCACAAAAGTTCAAGCAGGGAGTTTTATATACATCATTAACTTGGGAATTTGAGCATTCAGATGCAAACTATAACTACATTGTGTTATCATATAGATAGCACAAAAATCCACACCACAAAGTTGTGGGTCGGCATTTCACGATATACGCCTATGCAAACTTGGTGAAAAAGAATAAAGAACTTATATTTATTATTCTGATCACTGATACGGCTCTTTGGCTTTGCTCTCTGACAGACACCACATGGTTATATTAGAGTGAATTTTACTGTTTGCTTCAACTGTCAAAGGAGATTGTGATCCACAGCGATACAGCAAGTCATCCTGTCATATTAAACCTCACTGGGGCACCTCGCCTACACGACACAATGGAGCCAGGGGTTTAGGTGATGAAAAGCGAGAAAGGTAAGTCAGAGGAACATCACTTGTGTCAGCTTTCACTAAGACAAAGATGGTTATATACAGTGAAAGGCTGTCATTTTAGTGAGTTTATTATTAAATTCAGTATACATCTGACAAGTTAAATACAATAGTTAGTATTTTGGGCCTGTCCTTATTTACATGCCTTTTAGTGCATACACCAGTCTATGTACAAATATTAGGTTTATGAAGTGGACATCTATACCTAAGTGATTGGGAATAAATAGCAGCTTCGCTGCAGTCATGCCTAAAGGTAACAGCTCCTTCTAAAATTATTTTTCCCAGGGCGGCTGGGTGCCTCAGTTGTCGGTCAGCTCAGGTCATGATCCCGGGGTCCTGGGATCCAGCCCTGCGTCAGGCTCCTTCCTCAGCGGGAATCTGCTTCTCCCTCTCCCTCTGTCCCTACCCCTGCTCCTGCTCTGTCAAATAAATAAAATCTTTTAAAAAATATTAAAATTCTTTCCAATAAACGCAAATATGTCCTGTGTCATCAATATCTTCCTTGTCATAGCCATTATTAAAATAAACAAAACAATGATAAATAACAAAATTCTAAATATGCCCCTGGTACTGTGCTATTTCATATGCATACACAGCAACCCATTCTCCAGACTCCAAGAAAGGAAGCTACTGAAGCTCAAGGAGGTTAGGTGACTTCCCCAAGGTCGCACAGCTAGAAAGAGTAGGAGCCTGGACTTGAACCTAGGTTCTCTTGCATTCCAAATCTGGGGCTCTTAGTGCCCATGTCTTATTCTCTTTCCCCTACATTTCACAGAAAATAATAAAGAGGGAAAAAATCTCTATTAAAAAATGTAAACTGGGGTGCCTGGGTGGCTCAGTTGGTTAAGCAACTGCCTTTGGCTTAGGTCATGATCCTGGAGTCCTAGGATCGAGTCCCGCATCGGGCTCCCTGCTCAGCGGGGAGTCTGCTTCTCCCTCTGACCAACCCCAAGTGCGCGCTCTCTCTCTCTCTCTCATTCTTTCTCTCAAATAAATACAATCTTTAAAAGAAAATGTAAACTGTATCTGAGAATGTGGAGTATTTTAAATATACTTACCTCAGACATTTTCTATATTAGTTATATAAGCCAGAAAGCTTAAATATCAATAAAATTTCAAATATCTGCTACTGAATCAGTAATTCTTTACTTTTTTAAAGGATTTTATTCATTTATTTATTTGAGAGTGAGAAAGAGAGCGTGCACAAGCAGGCAGAGCATCAGGCAGAGGGAGAGGGAGAAGCAGGCTCCCAGCTGAGCAGGAAGCCCGATGTGGGGCTCGATCCCAGGACCCTGGGATCATGACCTGAGCCAAAGGCAGATGCTTAACCAACTGAGCCACCCAGGTGCCACTGATAAAAAAAAAAATCTCAACAAAGTCAGTCCTTCAAATTTGTACTTGCAGAAAGCAGCTTTAAGAGAAACTTAAACTACTTATATTCTATGAACATTCATCTAGTAGACCCAGGGTAATAGAGATTTAAAATAATAGCTTTATAAACTCAGCTTATAAATTTATTGCTGTCAGCTGTACCTTCAAAACATACCCCAAGTATGGTTACAACATCCTTAGTCTCCCTCTTTTAGTGTTTTCTATGTCGAGTATTGGTAACACACTACAGTGAGCCTTTTCCAAGCCTAAGCCATACCTTATAATGCTAATATTCCAAAAGCCAAAATTCTTATAATGATCTGCAAGACCTTATAGAACACCCCCCCACACACACACACACTCTGATCTTCTCTACCCCTCCTAGCAGGTCCCTTCACTCCAGCCACTCTGGCCTCCTAGCTATTCCTCAAACACAGACTCAAACTCACAGGCCTCAGGGCCTTTGCACATGCTGCTCCCTGGGAGGGTCTTTTCCGAGGCACACAGGGCTTGCTCACTGTCTTCTCATGTCTACCCACATGACTCAGGATTAATGAGGTTACCTCTAACCACCTGCTGTAAAGGTGTAATCTTTCATTCCCACAGGTCTCTTCTCCTTTAACATGCTTTATTGCTGGTCATTGTACATAATATGCCATCAGCCCACATGTGATAGATCTGTTTATTGTTTGCCTCCTTTGTGCTGCACCCCTGGTACCCAGAATGGTAGCTGGCAAATTGATGCTAAATGCTAAATGGCAAATAAATGCTAAAGACATGAATAAATGATACACCGAATATAAAAATACCAGCTATAGCAGATAATAAAAACTCATGAATGAGTAATATCACAAATATTGCTTATTGGTATTAATGGGGCATAAATTAATTGGAACATTTTAAATCATATAACAGTAGGTAAAACAGGAAATTTTTTGAAAAGCAAACAGTACAGGAATTATAGTTAAGTACTCTGGGTAAAAAGATCTGACAAAAGTTAGCCATTTTTACATTTAGCAGAAAAGTTTTAGTATTTACTTGCCATTTTAATTATTAGTGAAATCATTTGCTTTAAGT